AGTGGTCCCGTCCTTCTTGGGCACCAGAACTACAGGCGAGGCCCAAGGGCTGTCGGAGGGTTCGATGACTCCTGTATCTCCTTCCGCATTCCTTCTTGGACTGCTTCAGGGATATGATAGGGGGGCTGTCGTAGGGGGGTCTGTCCAGGGGTCTCTACCTTATGTACAGCTAGGGTAGTGTAACCTGGCTCCTGGGAGAACGTCGCCTGCTTCTCCCACAGCAGCTGCTTCGCCTGTAACTTTTCTGAGGAGTTTAACCGGTCCCCTAGCTGTACAAGGTTAGTGAGGTCAGTCTGGGGGTCCCTTTCTAGCAAATCGGGAATGGGTAAATTCTCTGGGTTATCTGCAGCAGGGGCGCATACTGCAGCAATATTCTCAGGTCTCTCCTGATACTCCTTCAGCATGTTAACATGAAAGGATCTCTGAATCCTTTCATCTGCACAGCTGGCTATAAGGTAGGTAGTATCACATATCAGAGCTACTACTCTGTACGGGCTCTGCCAAGACGCTTGCATCTTGTTTGCCTTCACAGGCTTGAGCACCAATACCTTCTGCCCAACCTGGAAGACTCGCTGTCGGGCACCCTGATCGTACCATCTCTTCTGTCTCCCCTGAGCCGCCTGGAGATTCTCTCTTACCATCACAGACAGTTTCTCCATGCGGTCCCGGAGTTCCAGGACATATGGTACTATGGGGGTCCCCTCCTGCTCGGTCTCCCCCTCCCAGTGGCCTCTAATGAGATCCAGAGGTCTGCGGACCCTTCTCCCATAAAGCAACTCAAAGAGGGGAGAACCCAATAGATTCCCGGGGCACATCTCTGTAAGAAAATAACAGATGAGGCAGGAACCTCTCCCAGTCCCTGCAAGTGTCTGTAAAGGTCCTCAGCATCTGCTTGAGGGTGCCGTTAAAGCACTCTCAGAGACCGTTCGTCTGTGGATGATAGGGTGAGCTAAGCAGCGGTTTAATGCCGCACACCTTCCACAGCTGCTGGGTGAGCACAGCGGTGAATTGGGTTCCCTGATCGGAGAGGATCTCCTTAGGGAACCCAACCCTAGTAAATATCCTAAACAGGGCATCAGCAACCGTCTCTGCCTCTATATTAGACAGCGCTACTGCCTCTGGATACCGAATGGACTAGCCCTGGCCAGTGGACCCACAATGTCAACGGCTATGCGGGAAAAGGGCTCCCCTATAATAGGCATCGATAATAGCCTAGCCTTAGGGTGGTCCCCCCGCTTCCCTACC